ATGTAGTGAGTAGAAAGTACAGATAATTGTGTAAAAATGTAATGAGTAAAAGTAAAAAGTACGCTGAAAATAATTACTCAAGTAAAGTACAGATAACCAAAATTTCTACTAAAGTACAGTAACAAAGTATTTGTACTTAGTTACTTTACATCTCTGTTATTTTAAGAGCTCAGATGTATTAAAGTATTGATTATTTAAACACAGATCTGAGTGTTTTTCTATAAATCAGGTGTTTTTAACAGACTCACAACAGATCAGGTCAGCACTCTTTGTGTTGACAGACAGAACCAGGAGGAAGCAGACCTGTTAGAGACCATTACATGTTTCCAGTCATCACAACAACACACTGTGATCTTTACAGGACTCCTTCACTAAGACACACAAAACACTTCCTGAAACAACAAACAGCAGACAGGAGCTGCTCTGTGTTCACAGCTGATGATGTAACTCTGCCTTAAAACACTTATTCTGTCCATGAGACCTCTGTTTATTACTGTTAACTGTTCTTCTTGAACTGAACTGATCCTCTGAGCACCTTTCAGTCCAGACTGAGGGCATCACACATGTTTTCTTTGTGTTGTTTTAAACGTATCATATCGTGTTTTTACATCCTGACGCTATGAACTACAGAATCACACAGAGGAAAACAAAGGCCGACTGTGAAATCCAGTTGGCCTTAAATACTTTACCATAAATGGTAGTTCTGAAGAAAAAAGTGTGACGAAATAAACAATGAAATGAAATAAACAATGAAACGAAATAAACAATGAAACGAAATAAACAAAGAAATGAAATAAACAACAGCAGATTTTGAACAAACTGAAAAATTTGACCCATAAAAATATAAAAATATCTTTGCAGTAACTGGACAGAATAAATTTGTTTTCTACACTACAATCTATAATTGCACAAAAAATAGTTTCTAAATGCAAAAAAAAGTGCATTTAGCATGAWATGTCTCCTTTAATCTACTGAGCCCGCGAAGGGACGGGGGATTTGTTTTTCTTTTGTGTTCCCTCGCAAAAGTTGTTAAACATTGTTGTGTCTGCTGCTTTATTAACAAACTCACGTTTTCTATTAGTGAGTTAGCTACTGCTTTAATTCAGTTTCAGAATGAATATATCACACAACTACGCATGGAAGTGTGTTATATGATGATATTTTAACACAGTGCAGCTACACAACATCAATGTTAATTTCACAAACTTGTGGTGACACTTCCTGTTTTGGTAACTGGATATTTCAAAATAAAAGTCTGATTTAATTTAGTTCATATACAAATCAAACTTTTGCGTGGGAACGCAAAGTAATATTGCAAGGTAACTCAAAAGTATTGCGAATTAACGCAAAAGTATCGCAAAGTAACGCAAAAGTATTGTAAAGTAACGCAAAAGTATTGCGAGGGAACGCTAAAGTATTGCGAGGGAACGCTAAAGTATTGCGAGGTAACGCTAAAGTATTGCGAGGTAACGCTAAAGTATTGCGAGGGAACGCTAAAGTATTGCGAGGTAACGCTAAAGTATTGCGAGGTAACGCTAAAGTATTGCGAGGGAACGCAATAGAAAAAAATCGCCCCATGTCCCCTCACAGACTCCGTATTAGTTGTGTAACTTTGTGTAAATGTATATTTTGCTGCCTCTTGGCCTGGACTCCCTTGAAACAGAAGATTTAATCTCAGTGGGACGTTCCTGGGTAAATTAAGGAAATAAAATGTCAGGTATAATCTGTGTTCTCTTCTGATAATCTGCTCTAACCTAAATGAGGACGTCTCTTTAAGGAGGTGAATATTTCTGCAGCTCTACTGCTGTCTGCCTTTGATTTAATTTAGGCTTTTATTTTGTAAAGCTGTCTTTTATTTTGTAAAGCTTCCTGTTCAGATTGAGCATGAATGTTCTGTAAACCCAGACCGTGAAGACCAGAGGTTCTGTTCAGAGCCAGAACTGCTCCGGGCCCACCTGACAGGTTTGACTGAGAACTGGTTCCACATGGTGAACCTCCCAGAGTTCTGGATGTGGCCCGTCCTCCTGCAGGACTCAGTGGTTCTGTGTACAGCTCAGGTTCTGTTCGCCGTCACATGTTTGGGACAATCAGTCCTTCAGTCTGGACCTTGTGGATTTTCAGCTATTTGTCATGTGACCGGGCCCAGTCCTTGGTTCTGCTCCACAGCTCCGTGCTCTGAGAGCGTGGATCAGAACCACAGGGACCAGACTAACGGAGGACAGGGTTCTGAGAGCGTGGATCAGAACCACAGGGACCAGACTAACGGAGGACAGGGTTCTGAGAGTGTGGATCAGAACCACAGGGACCAGACTAACAGAGGACAGGGTTCTGAGAGCATGGATCAGAACCACAGGGACCAGACTAACAGAGGGCAGGGTTCTGAGAGCGTGGATCAGAACCACAGGGACCAGACTAACAGAGGACAGGGTTCTGAGAGTGTGGATCAGAACCACTGGGGGACCACAGGGACCAGACTAACGGAGGACAGGGTTCTGAGAGTGTGGATCAGAACCACAGGGACCAGACTAACGGAGGACAGGGTTCTGAGAGTGTGGATCAGAACCACAGGGACCAGACTAACGGAGGACAGGGTTCTGGACTGATCCTGACCGGTCCAGTTGTGAGTATCAGTGGTGTTCTGTATCCGGACTGTGTTCTGGTCCAGTTGTGTGTTTGTGTTTGTAGCAGAGTCAGGTCCAACACAGGTTCTATGATACACCAGGTGGGTCAGAACAGGACTTTATCTGGACCCAGTCCATCAGTTCTTCTCTGRTGGTCTCAGTCGGACTCTGGGGACAGCAGAGCTCAGGGTTCAGGACTGGTTGAACAGTTCTGGAGGTTCTTGATCCTCTAGTTTCACTCTGATGGAACCAACTTACTGCATCATTGGATCAGTTCTGCAGTTGGGTCGGGCAGATTCATACTGTGTGCTGTTACTGGTCAGAAAAACACAAATGAATATTTATCAGTGTTTGATGATTAATGGTCTTAATGGCAGGAGGCAGACTGACTGGTTTCTCTGGTCCGTCTGCTCGGTGCTCCTCTCTGCTTCACTTAAGAACAACTTTAAAACAAAGTTCTGTCATTTATTAATCATAACTCAGGCTTTACTTGGTCTGTYGACACAGTTTAAAAATAGACGTTTAGCTTGAAGTCTGTGTTTTGACACAATTYGGAACAGATKTTTAGAGAGTAAATCTTTCCCAGTAGAGAGATTTAAACTGGTAATGTGAGCAGGATGTGAGGCATCAGGGGATTAATGGTTATCAGCTGAACACCACAATTAATCCTGATTGATATTTTTACATTGTCACCCAACCCTGTTCTGCAGGATCTGTTCCACTAGTTTCTGTTGGCCCAGATGGGACCTCTAACTRGTTCTGATCACACCTGTCCTCTCCAGCAGGTGGCGCTATGGGCAGCTGCAGCAGCAGGTCGTTTGGTACCATGACCCCGGTGCTGAACAGTGCCCCCTTGGCCCAACCCGACACGTACTTCAAGGAGGGCCCGGATCAGGACCCTGATAAGGACTCAGTGGAGGTGGACCCAGACCAACTGCTCAGGGAGTGCAAAGAGGTTCTGCAGAGGCGTCCGGCCCGACCGCATCGGGATCTGGTCCATCCCAGGAGCACGGTCCGTTACAGCCACAAGCACAACCCAAACATCCGGGTCATGCAGTGGAACATCCTGGCCCAAGGTACCGATGTGTTCTGAGACTGTCGCTGACAYGAACAACACAGTCACTGACCGTGTTTCCATCAAGSCTTCTTCATGCACATTTAGWAGTGTCGCATTAAAAAATACGAAAAAAAGTCGGATGGAAACAGAAAAATTAAAAAAAAAATCCTCAATTCACTAAAAAGTTTTTACGCTCGCTTGAGGTGGTTTTTGGATGATTCGCAAAGTAGTTAATGTTCAAAACGGGAGATGGAAACATGTTTGAGGAATAAATTCTGATGTAGCGCATATTTACCTCACGTGACGTTCAGCTGTTTCCGCTTTCCTGCCTCRTCCTGGATGTTATCATAAACGTGTTAAAACATGGCTGCGAACAACAACAACAGGTACGTGTGGACTGAAGAAGAGACGAGAACATTTCTCACTATTTCGCGAAACAAACTTTAATTTAGCCATTAAGACGTTAAATCGCTCCATTGTCCCGAGATGATTAGCCTCTGCTAGTTAGCAAGTTTCACTTCCTGTTTACTACAGCAAAGCTTGTTGCTGACGACTGACATAATCACATGTTGCGTAGCCTCTTCTTACATAATCACGCATTGCGTAGCCTCGTCTGACGTAATCACGCGTTGCGTAGCCTCGTCTGATGTAATCACGCGTTGCGTAGCCTCGTCTGACGTAATCACGCATTGCAGCCTCGTCTGATGTAATCACATGTTGCGTAGCCTCGTCTGATGTAATCACGCGTTGCGTAGCCTCGTCTGACGTAACCACGCGTTGCGTAGCCTCGTCTGACGTAATCACGCGTTGCGTAGCCTCGTCTGACGTAATCGCGCATTGCGTAGCCTCGTCTGACGTAATCACGCGTTGCGTAGCCTCGTCTGACGTAATCACTCGTTGCGTAGCCTCGTCTGACGTAATCGCGCATTGCGTAGCCTCGTCTGACATAATCACGCGTTGCGTAGCCTCGTCTGACGTAATCAAGAGTTGTGTAGCATCATCTGATGTAATCACGCGTTGCGTAGCATCGTCTGACGTAATCACGCGTTGCTTAGCCTCGTCTGACGTAATCACGCGT